ACTCTTAGTTTTTTTTAATTACAGTAGGTTGATCATAATGCGCCTAACCTAATATTAGGTTATACCTTTAAGTGAAATATTTAAAATATCTGGAAAGTGAGTTTTGAAAATTCTATGTAACTTTTTATAATATATCAATGGACTTTCCATTTTTGTACACCGTATGTAGAAACAGAAGAGACACACTCTATCGGTTAGGTATGCGAACCTTATGTAAATGCACCAGAATGTCTAATATGTTGTATTTTAGTATTGATTGAACTTTTATAATTTGTCATTCATAATTTATATATTATTTTAATATTCATCATTTTAATTATTGTTATTGCAATAAAAAAAAGGAGAAAACACCCATATTAGTTAACATTATTAAAAAATTGATTCCTTTTATTCACAAATTTTGTATTGAAAGGTGAGAAATTAAAAATTATAATTCCTCTGAATTAAGAATTTACATGAGTAGAGTTTGTTGAGTGTGGTGGAGGAGGAATCACCTTCCCTTTATTATTTAAATTTGAATTAATTAAGTGAAATATAAAATTGTAATGGGATTCTGATTCTGATCCCAATGCTTCTACTTTTCTTAGAGAAAAGATGTGTCATTTGATGGTTCTTGTTGACTCTGAGTTTCTGAGTGACATCACTTAAAACTAAGTCTAACATTTTGTTTCTTTTGTACCCGACAAAAACAACATCAGCACCACATCGATTACTTGCAACAAACATAGACAAAGTCTTGCGCATGCAAACAATCCCACGCATTTTCTTCGGAACCTTTCATTTTTCGGGTACCACTCACCGTACATCCGTGATTATAATTTATACCAGAAAACAACACTCACACAAGTTTCTATCCTCCCCTCTTTAGTAACAGTTTCTTTCCACAAATTTTAAATAATTTTTTTAATATAAATGAATTACTATATAAATCAATAAAATAATAATAATTATTGATATATATATATATATATATATATATATATATAATAAAAAATAATTACTTGTATGTATATGAGAAAAAAAATCAATTTTATAAATTACAAAGTATTATTATCATAATTATAATAATTATTGCTATTAGTATATATATAATAAATATAAAAACAAATTATTTATATATATAATTAAAAAAATAAAAATTATTATTACTAATAAATATTTTTTTTGTATTATTAATAATATACATATACTAAAAAGTAAAACTTTTACTATTAATATATATATATATATATATATATATATATATATATATATATATATATAAATAAGAGAGTGAGAATTGATTCTTCCATACTCTTCTTTCATATTAATGCATTCGATGAAATAAGCAATAAACTCCAATAAAGTAAATTCATATCTATCTAGCATCACTATAATCAATTTTATTATCTCAAAAACACATTCAAAATCAATTCTTTTTTTATTTTATTCAAAATTGGTTATCGTTTCTCCAAAATTAATTGTATAGTCTCCCACACATGATACATTTCTTGTATAATACATGAATGAATGGATAAAAATGTTCCTCCACCAAATCAGTTCGTTCAAATCATCTCAAATCAGTAAAAACCAAATAGTCAATGAACTTTTATTTATATATATTCCCAAAATAGTACCATCCGTGGAAATAAAAGACAGTCAAGTGCCAGAAAGATATTAACTGTTCCCACTCTTATTACCTCTATTTTTCTTTGGTCTACATTTTCCTAAAAACCGCACATGAATTGTATAAATTTTGAACAGATTTCTTTCAAGAATTTGATGATTGTTTCCTTTTAGACTTTTAGTTATTGCCACTTCTAAACCTAATTGCACCCATTTTTTTTTCTTTCCAAAACTGTTCATCTCTTCCTATGACGTAGGGGTTGTTGCATCTTTTATCTTAAAAAATGAAATTTTATAGTTAATTTAATTTTATCTATTTTGGCTTATTAATTATCAAAATTCCAATACCAGACAAGACAATGCATGGAAGTGGAAGGAACTGCAACACAGCACAAAAGCCCCTTCAGAAAAAGAAATCCAAAAGCACAATTTCCGTGTCATACTTTAAAATAAATCTTGGGTGTGATTCCTAAATATTTGAAGTATGCGTCTCTATTTTATGTAATTCTTTTTTGGGAAACATTGTTAAGATTAAATTATTACATCTTTGAAGATTCATGATCAAGTGCATTGTGACATAAGTTTGGTACATAGTAAGCAATTTAAACATGATGGTTTTTTTATTTTTTATTTCTATTCTTTTATTAATGTTCAATGAAAGAAGTTATAAATGGACTAAAGTAAAGACTTGGTTATTATTTTCTTAAAATCTCGTTGTTTATTTTTAAAATTTGAAGAGTAGTAGAAGAGCTGAGGAAAATTAATTTGGATATTATTAAAATCATTATATGTAGTTATTGAACCGTACTACATTAAACTGTGTATGAACAATTTTTAGTTTTCAATACCAATGAGAAGGATAAACGATTTAATTTGAAATTGAATTAACATATATGTAGTAAAATGTTCACACTGAGACGTCGTTTTCTTTTTGTTAGTGATAGAACAAACATGATGAAAATGAGAGTGTGTAAAGTGACTCTTCTCCATTAACTAAAGATATCTTTTTCAGCTGTGTTATTGGACTCCAACACGCACCATTTTTTAAAGTGTTCTATTCCAACTCCTATTAGTGGCTAAAATTAGGTTTTTCGTCAAATACTCATTTCATATAACTTGTACTTGCGTTTTTATTTTATTAACTTATTTAAAGTAAGCACTTGATTTACTTTTTACTTTATTTACGTTTCCACTTTTTGAAAGAATAATAAAACAAACTTAATAATCCTTGACAAAAAAGAAAGAATAGTAAAAAAGAGAAAAAAGACACGGTTTTTTTTTTAATTAACCTCTGCATCAGTTTCGATCTAAACAATCTAAATTGGATTGTTTTATTAAAGTGGATAATGAAAACGAATTTTATAGATCCATCATGAAACTAAAAAAAAATAATGATGATTTGATTGTTTACATTGAAAAAAAAGATTTTTAATATCAGTTATTTTAAGCTTTTAACTTCTATTAAAGATTTGATGTTAGAGTAAGAGACGTTAAATTATTTACGAACACATGTGAATTAACATTGGTTGCATTTATAAAATACATTAATTATTGGTTGCTAAAAAATTAATATATAATAACAAATTAGACTACAAATGTTTCAGATTTTAGAAATAGTATAGGTATCTAAAATAAAAATGTAAAGTACAGAAAATGGGAGAAAAATATTAATAAATTAAAAAAATATCTTAAACTATGGATTTTTCAAAATTCTAAAACATAAAATACTTTAAAAGATGGCCAATAAGTTCATCACCAATTTCCAACGTCTCTATTCAAAGTTTATACCAAAAGTTATAACAATTTAAAGTTTACAAAACTCAAGATTAAACCTAAAATGCAAAAGGCAACATTTATAACATATAACATTAGCTAGTGAAAGAAAACATCAACACTTAATTAAGGAGAATAAAAACTTCAACCCAAAGAACCACCACAATAAAAAAGATGAAGTGAAATGAGATAAAAAAACTTACTTCCGTGAGTTTAGTGTCCTCAGTTTCACATAAACATGAAAGAAAAATTTTGAAAAAGAAAATTAAGATTACTATTAAGGCCAACATAAGTTAAATGACGTAAGATAAAACCAACGTTAAATTACAAATTAATATTTGTTGTAGGTTTAATGTGAATTTAGACCAAATATTTACAAAAATGTAAAAATGTAAAAATTTACTATTTTTGACATGAATACAGTGACGTTATAAACTGTTATTTAGAGTTAAAAATATTTACCTTTTAATTTCATACCGCATGATAGTTATTCTCTTGTCTTCCCCTGTTAAAGCCCACTGCACCACCACCTTATTTCACTGTTTCTTCATCACTCCATTTGCTGTTGTCCTCACTGTCTCCCCACTCCATTGTGGTTTTTTTCTTACACCCACTCTCCATAGTAGTTTCATGCAGTGTTTTCTGCCATTAGTTCTCCTTTTGCGTACCATCCATCGTCTTCCATTGTTGAGACATTATTAATCCTTCTCCTTTTTTGTTTGCTATCGATCTCATTATTCCTTTCACCTTCATTCCAAATATGTTCTTTAATATCGTTTTGAACTTTTTTTATTAGTGTTTATTTTTTATAAAATTACATTTGACTCTTACTAATCATTGTTTAATTAATAACTTGCTTTAGTTTAAGATATTATTTACAAGCGTAAACTAAAAAATATCATAAATTTGTGAACTTTTAAAGGACCACAAGACGAAATTCAAGAAAAATATCTCAATAAATTAAAGAATGGTTCAAAGAGTATTTTCGATAAACTAATTCAATACAAGTTAAACGCAAAATTCTTATTCACATCTTGAAAAGACTATTTATTTTCAATTAAATTAACCACGATATTTACTTTTCATCTATTTACGTGTTTCACCTAAAAACTTTCAATAAACTCCTAATATTATGAGTGTCATATTTAAAAATATCAATCGACAACCATAACAATAATATTTGTTATAAATTTACATTATAGGTAATAAAATTTAATATTTTACAATATATTATATATACTATAAGTATACATTTAATTTAAAATCATTTGTTTTTAATCCTTTTCTAACTAAAGAATAAACATAATATAATATTATAATGTAATTTTTAATATATTATATTACACAAGAAAGTGAACAATATAATATAATATAATTTTATAGTAGGGATAACAACGAAAGAAGACACTTGGGTTTCTTTATCTTATTTCCATCCTCAAATTAAAAATTCATCTTCATCTCAATCACCACAATTAACGAGTATATATACAATTTATGTTCAGTTGCCATCCCACTGAATAACTGACATGTTTTTTTATCAATTTTTTAACCGTTTTATTATAAATGATTTATATTATGAGAAAGAAAACATGGTATTATCAAAATATTTCTATATAATTGCGATGGGTAAAATTACAGTTATAAAAATAATTTAGAAAACATAAATAATTATATAAAGAATTATTAAAACAATATTTTACATATAAAAATAAATAACAATAAAAAATAATTTAAAAAAGTTAAATATGACCATATATCTGTCTCAGAAATGATTTGATACATTATTAAATAAATGACATAATAAGAAAAATATGTACATTTAAGGATATGATAAGATGAAAAATATTTTTATGAGAAACCATTTTAGAATTCAAACTAGTTGAAACAGTGATAAAGAAAATTATTTTAATGAAACAATAGTTTTCTAAATGAAACAAAAATTAAAGATAAAAGATAATAAAGAAGATATGTTTTGAATAGTGTCTAGTAAATAAAAGGTTTATAAAATTAAAAACTTGAGATTGAGAGTCAAACATATTTATGTGAGATAAAAATAAACAATAAAAAAATATATTAAAAAGTAGTAGAAATAAACAAAACCCTAGATCTAGAAACTATTTGATTTATTCTATTGATAAAACATCATTTGAATACAACGTAAAAAAAATGTGTGATTAAGGGTTTGAAAAAAGGGAAAGTACATTGAAAATGTGAGTAGGTTTTGTGGATATTGAATAAGTTAAACAATTAGAAAAGACAATGAAAATGTTTTTAACGAAAGAAAAAAATTATAAAACTAAATACTAACAAACTAATATATATATATATATATATATATATATATATATATATATATATATATATATACACACATACTCTTCCTCTTCTGAGTATCCAATTAATAAAATTGGGTATCACTGATACCTCTACTCGTATGCGTAAACATTCAATAAGTGGATTTATAATCAAAATAAGGATGGATTAAGAAAAGGTTTAATAGGTTCGGAGGTCCCTATATTTGGGGGTTCGTTTCAATTGGGTCCTTTAATTTTGAAAGTGATCAATTGGGTCCCTAATTTAACAAAATTGAGTCAATAATACCCTTTCCGTTAAATACAATGGACGACGTTATCTTCTTAAACAGGTGGCATGCTGAACATCTTTTTTATTTCCATGTGGCACAGTTTGGACTAATATGTGTATTTTATATCATTTTAAACTGTAAGTAAGAAGCTGAGAAACCTTCAGAGGTAACTGGTATAAGTGAACTAGCCAAGGAAACAGTTAGACTAAAATCAGAATCTGAGAAACCTTTAGAGGTAACTAGTGTTAGTGAAGCAACCAAGGAAACAGTGAAACTGGAATCAGAAGCTGAGAAACCTTCAGGGGAAACTCTTCCCAATGAACCTGCTAAGGAAACAGTGCAACCAGAACCAAAAGCCGAGAAAGATTCGGAGGAAAATAATCAAAGCAGCGAGCTAGTGAAGGGAGAACATATAGAGACTAAAGAGACATCTTCAGAGGAACCACGAAGCAATGAACCCATCAAACACAACGAGAAGCTTATCATCGAACCATCGGAAACAGAAAAGCCAAGTGGGAAATCAAAGAAGAATGCTTCAGAAGCTGAAAAGCCCGAGACCCCTTTAAAAGAGAGCATAAACACGGAAGCAGCTCTTCATGAGGAGAAAGTAATTGTCGTAGAGCCCTCTTAAGGGAGCGACTATGCCGATCTGGAAGGTAAACCGTTAGTTGATTCGGACGGGGCTTGAGGAGTTACAGGAACACAGATTGATTTGGAAAAGGAGTCATGTCATAAACTATGGAAAGCGAAGCAGCCCCTCAAACCCAACTCGGCGACAAGAAGGCGGACATTGATACGAAAAGTGAGTTTGCAACTCATACTACCGTGTCGCTTGGAGGATCCTCCGGTATCCTCCCTTGCGGTTTCACAAACCCATGTAAAGCACGCAGATGAAGATTGGTGGCTCCATACGGCTAGATTAGGGTATGGAATGAACCGAAGAGATGAATCCCCTCATTGGGTGAATGGAATTTTTCCAGTTTTTGGAAAATTTCCATTCTAGGTTAGTTACTGGGCTTAATTGTCATGCTGACACTGAAAACCCCTGTAACCTCAAATCTGTATTTTATATCTCCCTCCTCTCCACTCGCGTCCTCCCCCACCGCCACCTCCATCCCGCCACCTACGCCCTCTACATCGACCTCCTCAACCGCCATGCCTTCTCCCTCTCGTTCAGGAATGGATCTATGAAGGATGTACTTAAAGAACAAACCTTGTCCCAGGAAGTTTCAGGATCAAACAATTTGGCGAATTTTGAAGGCGAGAGGTGAAAAAAGAAAATTAGGGTTTAGGATTAGAAAGGAAAAGGGAATCTGAATGCAAATTAAAAATTGCAGAAATTGGTTGTGCCACGTATTAAGTTTAAACTATGCCACCTGGAAATAAAAAAATGTTCTGCATGTCACCTCTTTAAAAATTTAACGCGCCGTGCATTACATTTAACGGAAAAGATATTATTGACTCAATTTTGTTAAATTAGGGACCCAATTGATTACTTTCAAAATTGGAGGACCCAATTGAAACGAACCCGCAAATATAGGGACCTCCGAACCTATTAAACCTTAAGAAAATATCCACATGAATAAATTTATTTGTCATTTTCATTTTACAGTGATATATTTATATTATATTAGATATTTAAATTAATATTTTAAATTTAATCAAATTTTAATAACTTTAAAATGATTTTTTCACGAAAAAAAAATGGTTAGAAATATATTTTGGTAATTAGATCATGGTCCAAAACTTCATGTTTGATTGAATCAAAACATATTACTTAAATTGAATTATTTCAGCCGTTATAGTTTGTAGGTAAATTATAATAATAGGATGTTAATGGGTGATATGTAGCTAATAGTTTATAACAAAATCCTAAAAATACAGTAAACATCTAAAGAAAGAAGAGAAATATTCCGATAGTAACATGTGTTATAATGTCTAATAATATTAATGGTTATTATCCATGTTGTTCATATATATAAAATCCAATCAAACTTGAAAAATAATTCACTCAACAAAGGGAAAGTGAGGTATAATCCGAAACTACAAAACAATATGAAAATTTCCATCATCATATTATTTTTATCTTTTTTCACAATTCACTTTGATTTAACCCAATCATTCACTATTCATCTATCAAAAGTGGGAACAGTACCAAATTTCGACATAACTGAGGTATGGATATTTAATATTGAGAGAAACAGGAATTCACATTATTTGATAATAAAAAAAAACCATATTTCATCTCCAATTTATGGGATTTCTTTTTATTATTATAACAATCTTTTCAATAATTTGCAATTTGCATATTCTTAAGGATTTAAAAAGTGGTTGGAAAGAAGCATGTGCATCCAAAGAACCTGTCGAAATTTATTTTTCGGGAAAATATACACTGAGACATGTAGAATTAAAAGGTCCTTGCAAGGGTCCTGTAAAAATTACTATTGATGGCCAAATCAAAGCACCAGTCAACCAAAAGGATCTTGGAGGCGACCATTGGATCAAGATTAGCAATGTTAATGACTTGACCCTGTCTGGTACAGCAATCTTTGATGGTCAAGGTGCATCTGCTTGGAAAGAAAATGAATGTTCAAAAAACTCTAATTGCAAAATTGGCATGGTAAATAAATATTATTTCAAAATTCAATTAAATTGCATGTGTATTTATCAAAATTAGATTTTATTTAATTTTGTATTCTTTCATCAAATGTCAACAGAATTTTGGTTTCCATTTCGTCAACAATTCAATAGTAAGTGGCATTACTAGCAAGGACAGCAAACACTTTCATGCCAATGTCTTGGATTGCAAAAATTTCACATTTGATGGATTTAAGGTGAGCGCTCCACAAAATAGCCCCAACACTAACGGCATTCATATTGAAAAATCCACAAGTGTGAATGTTCTTAATGCAAACATTGGCACCGGAGATGATTGTGTTTCACTAGGTGGTGGTAGTAACCAGGTTCTTGTCCAAAATGTGACATGTGGACCTGGTCATGGTATTAGTATTGGAAGCCTTGGAAAACACAAGAAAGAAGAGTCTATTGATGGTATTACAATTAAGGGTTGCACTTTGAAAGAAACTGATAATGGAGTGATGATTAAGACTTTGCCTAGTGAGCCAGAAACAGTTACAATTACTAACTTGGTATTTGAGGATATTACCATGGAGAATGTTAAGAATCCTATTATTGTAGACCAAGAGTATTGTCCATCGAACCAATGCTCCAAAAAGGTATCTAGTCTCTTATATATTCATCCACACATTAATGTTATTATTTCATTTATAAAATATTTTATATAGTACATGAGGTGGCTTAAAGACTAACTTTTATCTCATTTATTCTTGTGATGATTTAGCAACCATCAAAAGTAAAGATAAGCAAAGTTACCATCAAGAATATTAAGGGTACTTCAGCCACTAAAGAAGGAATGATTCTTGATTGTAGTAGTGTACCATGTGAGGATGTAGAGATATCTAATGTTGATCTCAAGTTCAATGGAACTCCAACAATAGCTGTATGCAGTAATGTCAAACCAAAAATAACAGGAAATGTTCCTAAGTGCACAACTACGAGTCAAAAAAAACAATAAATACAAATTTGTTTAAACCATTTAAACTATTTTTCCTTGGAGTATGAAAAATTCATATATAGTTTTAGTCGTAATTGTAATTCCTTAAATACTTGAAATAAATTGTAGTAAAATGAGAATTGTGTATATAATTATTCTTTAATAATAAAGTACTTTAATATTATCTGATCATGTCATGTTTAAACAATTTTTTTTATTAAGGTCGGACGAGTTCCATTATCTTATCTCCATCAACATAAAAAAATATTACTTATTGAATTATTTATTTGACATGGTAGTTTATAAAGAAAATATAAGAATAAGTTGTTCATAGTGATTTAAAGTTAATAATTTATGCAAATATATTAAAAATCCAAAAGAAAAAAAAATACCGAAACCGTAAATAATGTGTTATAATTACTAATAACATTAATGGTTTACTATTCATGTTGCTTTATTATAAATAATCTCCAAACACATTAGAAAAATAACTCACTCAACACAAGTATAAGTGTGGTATAATAAAAAATCACTAGACAATATGAAATTTTCTACTATCTAAATTTTTATCTTTCTTTATAATTAGCTTTGATTTAACGTAATCAACGAATTTTTATATACTACAATTTAGAAAAAATCAAATAGGAATATACTCTAAGTACATTTGATATTGAGTTAAAAAAAAACTAACATTGTTTGATGACAACAAAAACATATTTGATTCAAAATTATAGTATTTTTTATTTTGTTATTATTACAATCTTTCCAGTATTTTGTTGTTTCCATATTCTTAAATTTTTAAAAAAGATTTGTATTCAATCATGTTCATCCATGCTTGTTTTACATTTGTTATCAAAATTGTGATTCTAAAAAGAACATATATATGAAATGATACCTGTAGATGTAAAAAGTCCTTTGAAACTGCTATCGAACTTTACATTGATGGTACAATCAAAACATTGATAAAAGCAGATGACATTAACAGTGATCNTGTCGTAGAGCCCTCTTAAGGGAGCGACTATGCCGATCTGGAAGGTAAACCGTTAGTTGATTCGGACGGGGCTTGAGGAGTTACAGGAACACAGATTGATTTGGAAAAGGAGTCATGTCATAAACTATGGAAAGCGAAGCAGCCCCTCAAACCCAACTCGGCGACAAGAAGGCGGACATTGATACGAAAAGTGAGTTTGCAACTCATACTACCGTGTCGCTTGGAGGATCCTCCGGTATCCTCCCTTGCGGTTTCACAAACCCATGTAAAGCACGCAGATGAAGATTGGTGGCTCCATAAGGCTAGATTAGGGTATGGAATGAACCGAAGAGATGAATCCCCTCATTGGGTGAATGGAATTTTTCCAGTTTTTGGAAAATTTCCATTATAGGTGAGTTACTGGGCTTAATTGTCATGCTGACACTGAAAACCCCTGTAACCTCAAATCTGTATTTTATATCTCCCTCCTCTCCACTCGCGTCCTCCCCCACCGCCACCTCCATCCCGCCACCTACGCCCTCTACATCGACCTCCTCAACCGCCATGCCTTCTCCCTCTCGTTCAGGAATGGATCTATGAAGGATGTACTTAAAGAACAAACCTTGTCCCAGGAAGTTTCAGGATCAAACAATTTGGCGAATTTTGAAGGCGAGAGGTGAAAAAAGAAAATTAGGGTTTAGGATTAGAAAGGAAAAGGGAATCTGAATGCAAATTAAAAATTGCAGAAATTGGTTGTGCCACGTATTAAGTTTAAACTATGCCACCTGGAAATAAAAAAATGTTCTGCATGTCACCTCTTTAAAAATTTAACGCGCCGTGCATTACATTTAACGGAAAAGATATTATTGACTCAATTTTGTTAAATTAGGGACCTAATTGATCACTTTTAAAATTGGAGGACCCAAGTGAAACGAACCCGCAAATATAGGGACCTCCGAACCTATTAAACCTTAAGAAAATATCCACATGAATAAATTTATTTGTCATTTTCATTTTACAGTGATATATTTATATTATATTAGATATTTAAATTAATATTTTAAATTTAATCAAATTTTAATAACTTTAAAATGATTTTTTCACGAAAAAAAAATGGTTAGAAATATATTTTGGTAATTAGATCATGGTCCAAAACTTCATGTTTGATTGAATCAAAACATATTACTTAAATTGAATTATTTCAGCCGTTATAGTTTGTAGGTAAATTATAATAATAGGATGTTAATGGGTGATATGTAGCTAATAGTTTATAACAAAATCCTAAAAATACAGTAAACATCTAAAGAAAGAAGAGAAATATTCCGATAGTAACATGTGTTATAATGTCTAATAATATTAATGGTTATTATCCATGTTGTTCATATATATAAAATCCAATCAAACTTGAAAAATAATTCACTCAACAAAGGGAAAGTGAGGTATAATCCGAAACTACAAAACAATATGAAAATTTCCATCATCATATTATTTTTATCTTTTTTCACAATTCACTTTGATTTAACCCAATCATTCACTATTCATCTATCAAAAGTGGGAACAGTACCAAATTTCGACATAACTGAGGTATGGATATTTAATATTGAGAGAAACAGGAATTCACATTATTTGATAATAAAAAAAAACCATATTTCATCTCCAATTTATGGGATTTCTTTTTATTATTATAACAATCTTTTCAATAATTTGCAATTTGCATATTCTTAAGGATTTAAAAAGTGGTTGGAAAGAAGCATGTGCATCCAAAGAACCTGTCGAAATTTATTTTTCGGGAAAATATACACTGAGACATGTAGAATTAAAAGGTCCTTGCAAGGGTCCTGTAAAAATTACTATTGATGGCCAAATCAAAGCACCAGTCAACCAAAAGGATCTTGGAGGCGACCATTGGATCAAGATTAGCAATGTTAATGACTTGACCCTGTCTGGTACAGCAATCTTTGATGGTCAAGGTGCATCTGCTTGGAAAGAAAATGAATGTTCAAAAAACTCTAATTGCAAAATTGGCATGGTAAATAAATATTATTTCAAAATTCAATTAAATTGCATGTGTATTTATCAAAATTAGATTTTATTTAATTTTGTATTCTTTCATCAAATGTCAACAGAATTTTGGTTTCCATTTCGTCAACAATTCAATAGTAAGTGGCATTACTAGCAAGGACAGCAAACACTTTCATGCCAATGTCTTGGATTGCAAAAATTTCACATTTGATGGATTTAAGGTGAGCGCTCCACAAAATAGCCCCAACACTAACGGCATTCATATTGAAAAATCCACAAGTGTGAATGTTCTTAATGCAAACATTGGCACCGGAGATGATTGTGTTTCACTAGGTGGTGGTAGTAACCAGGTTCTTGTCCAAAATGTGACATGTGGACCTGGTCATGGTATTAGTATTGGAAGCCTTGGAAAACACAAGAAAGAAGAGTCTATTGATGGTATTACAATTAAGGGTTGCACTTTGAAAGAAACTGATAATGGAGTGATGATTAAGACTTTGCCTAGTGAGCCAGAAACAGTTACAATTACTAACTTGGTATTTGAGGATATTACCATGGAGAATGTTAAGAATCCTATTATTGTAGACCAAGAGTATTGTCCATCGAACCAATGCTCCAAAAAGGTATCTAGTCTCTTATATATTCATCCACACATTAATGTTATTATTTCATTTATAAAATATTTTATATAGTACATGAGGTGGCTTAAAGACTAACTTTTATCTCATTTATTCTTGTGATGATTTAGCAACCATCAAAAGTAAAGATAAGCAAAGTTACCATCAAGAATATTAAGGGTACTTCAGCCACTAAAGAAGGAATGATTCTTGATTGTAGTAGTGTACCATGTGAGGATGTAGAGATATCTAATGTTGATCTCAAGTTCAATGGAACTCCAACAATAGCTGTATGCAGTAATGTAAAACCAAAAATAACAGGAAATGTTCCTAAGTGCACAACTACGAGTCAAAAAAAACAATAAATACAAATTTGTTTAAACCATTTAAACTATTTTTCCTTGGAGTATGAAAAATTCATATATAGTTTTAGTCGTAATTGTAATTCCTTAAATACTTGAAATAAATTGTAGTAAAATGAGAATTGTGTATATAATTATTCTTTAATAATAAAGTACTTTAATATTATCTGATCATGTCATGTTTAAACAATTTTTTTTATTAAGGTCGGACGAGTTCCATTATCTTATCTCCATCAACATAAAAAAATATTACTTATTGAATTATTTATTTGACATGGTAGTTTATAAAGAAAATATAAGAATAAGTTGTTCATAGTGATTTAAAGTTAATAATTTATGCAAATATATTAAAAATCCAAAAGAAAAAAAAATACCGAAACCGTAAATAATGTGTTATAATTACTAATAACATTAATGGTTTACTATTCATGTTGCTTTATTATAAATAATCTCCAAACACATTAGAAAAATAACTCACTCAACACAAGTATAAGTGTGATATAATAAAAAATCACTAGACAATATGAAATTTTCTACTATCTAAATTTTTATCTTTCTTTATAATTAGCTTTGATTTAACGTAATCAACGAATTTTTATATACTACAATTTAGAAAAAATCAAATAGGAATATACTCTAAGTACATTTGATATTGAGTTAAAAAAAAACTAACATTGTTTGATGACAACAAAAACATATTTGATTCAAAATTATAGTATTTTTTATTTTGTTATTATTACAATCTTTCCAGTATTTTGTTGTTTCCATATTCTTAAATTTTTAAAAAAGATTTGTATTCAATCATGTTCATCCATGCTTGTTTTACATTTGTTATCAAAATTGTGATTCTAAAAAGAACATATATATGAAATGATACCTGTAGATGTAAAAAGTCCTTTGAAACTGCTATCGAACTTTACATTGATGGTACAATCAAAACATTGATAAAAGCAGATGACATTAACAGTGATCAATTGCTCAAAATTGACGGTATTAACGCCTTAATCATATAGGGCAAAGAAGTCTTTGATTGTCAAGACTGATATACTT